GCCTCAAAAATTAAACAATGTCTTGAAAGTCGATATATTTATTAAGAAGAGAAAATGGGACAAAATGGAATTTTTTTATCATAAATGACAGCTTGAAAAATATTTTAGAAACAAATATTTTCTCAATAGACATCTGATGAGAGAAAAATGAAAACTTACCAACTGTTTCTAATTTTTCTATTTTCTTTGTGTCCAATTTCCTCTTCATAAATACATCTGTTTTTATAGCATTGACTAACATGTTTGTTCCTTCTAAGGTAGTCCATAAATAGCACAGTAAATGGCCCAATAAATACTTACAATGAGTATGAAGACACTTGCTAGTAAGTTTATCTCTCAAATTTATTATTCTTGTTGGAATTCTATCAAATTTAGCTTTGCCAATAAATGCATACCATCACTAACTGATAAAAAATAGTCATCAGTAAGGTCACCACTCAGTGTTAATTATTTGTTGGATAACCTATGAAATGTTGGCTTTAGCTAATAAATATCAGCAAAGCTTAACCTTTTAGACTTGTGAAAAATAACTGTGTGTCAAAAGCATGATTTTTCTCTTGACACTGCAATTATTGTACACTTTCTCAACTATGATTGTTTTAAGAAACTATTTTTAGAATTTTAATAACAACAAAAATGTTACACACTATTTAGTTGCTAGATTATTACTTACAAGTAATCTTGGCTTAAGTCACTTTCACACCACCATAACATAGCTATTCTTTGACTTTTCTATTAATATTGTCATGGTAATTGTTCTGATGAGCTTTCCTCTTTGGTGCTCAGGCAAATTGTATATATAGGAACTAATTAGGACTTCATAGAGACTTTGAGGTATTATGGTGACTGTAATAAGAATGGTAAGAACGTGTTGTTTTGGTGTAAGGAATACTGTTATATAAATAATCTAACAACAGAATAGTATATCTAAATATACCTTTTTAAAAAAATAAATATTGCCAAGGGAATATACAGTAAGAGCAGTGTCAAGAGAAAAAAAACGACCTTTTGAGGCACTATATTTCTGAAAGTCCAAAGGTTAAACTTTACCTAAATATTTATATTCAATATTTGGTTGTGGTGTTGTGGTCATAAACTCATTTAAAAAAAACTCTTGACAGGTATTATATTGTTTGGTGGGTTCCCTATGAAATGCTGGCATCATCCAATAAATATCTGTAACCAGTATGTTATAAAGTGTACCTGTTATAATCTCATTTAACAAACACAAAAAAGGATGTTTATCCATTGCTATCAATAAACTATTCACTGTCATCCTACAAGGCACTACCTTAGGCAGACAGAGATAAAAAAAAAAAATGGGCAAGCAACATCACTGAGTGAACTAGAAGATCATTTACAGAGACACAGACATTGGCACACTACCTATAGAGGGAGCTGGTCAGGTGTTCCATCTGTGTGGTGACTATGAGTACTCTCAATCATTGGATAGATGATGATGGCAGTGGCGATGATGATGATGATGATTCCTGGGTACTCCATAAAATGCTGATTTAAAGAATCATTCTCATAATATTAACATCCCTGTAAAATTAGAACTTAAAGGTGTTATGCTGACTTCATAAATGATATTTTTCAGCAAATTTATTTTTCATAACCAGGTGAATATATTATAATGATTAAAAACATAATAGACAATATATGTGACCTTATTATAAACTTTATTCAATTTTCAGTTTACATATGTTTTGTTTAAATCCTTTTTTATTTCACTGCTAGTTAAAATCATTACCACTATCTTTTTAGATAATAACTGTAGAACGTACCAGTTGAAGCACTTAAGAAGAATGTGATCAGGATATTAGTCCCAAACTACTTATATATCCTCAGTCTCGAGAAATACAAAACAAGAACCATTTATTCTCTTTCTGTTGTCCTTGTGTCAGACATGTCATGGTAAAAGACATAAATAAATAAAGTCTGCCACAAAAAATTAAAAAAAATTTTTTTTTTATTACAACAACAACAACAACAACAAAAATGAATTATGATGGACCGGCTGATGTCACAAGAAGGAATTAGGACCAATGTTTGAATATAAACATTTTGTGAAATGACATTTTTTCAAAATATGTTTTGGAGTTTGGTTCTTCATAGAATGTACTGAAAATAGTCAATTATAGAAATCCATTGCAAATGATTTACAATACAAAATGTATTAGTAAATGATTTCCTAAAAAAAATACATTGCAAATGATTTATTATAAAAATGCACTGGAAATGATTTACTATAAAAATGCATTGCAAATAATAAAAAAATGCATTGCAAATGATTTATTATAAAAATGCATTGCAAAAGATTTAAGACAAAAATGCATTGCAAATGATTTAATATGAAAATGCATTGCAAAAAATTTGGGATAAAATGCATTGCAAATGATGTTAAGAATGCATTAGAAATAATTGTAAAATGCATTGCAAATGGTTTACTATTAAAATGCATTGATAATAATTTATTATGGACTTGCACTGTTAATGATTTTATTCAGAATAAAAAATATTATTCTGAAAACTGTTTTCCTGCTTGTCATGCATTTCCATAAAAAACAAGAATAAAAAATTTCTGCTTTCAAAGGTTTACTTTTTGCAGTATGACATCATTTGGGCATTGACTGTAATCATTTTTATACAAGAACAATAAAACCGATAAGGTAGAGAAACATATCTTGTGAGATTCAAATAATTCCTCAACTTTAATGATTAAACTCCAGACTTACAAGACTTTATGAAAAAGAAATTCTAAATTAGATAAAGATCAAATGTCAACCAATGCTATGACCTTTGATTAAAGGTAAAAAGTTTCAAATTTCAAATCTTTGGTCTGTGCTTCAGTAATTCAAGCAATCAAGAAATATAAAATATTAAAGCTATTACATTTTTTCATAGATGTTAAAAATGAATTGAAGAATAATGTTAAGAAATACTTAGAATATTATCTTCTGGTATTTTTTATAAAGATAATGAAAAATGAGAAAAAAATAATTGAAACCTCCTGACTGATGAGTGGATTGAACAATTACAAAAATGTTTGTCTATAAAACTATGGAGTCAAGGTGCTGAATATAACATCAATCAGGTAAATGATAAATTTTATTTATATTGATCCCATATATATATATATATATATATATATATATATATATATATATATATATATATATGTGTATGTGTGTGTGTGTGTGTATATATATATATATATATATATATATATATATATATATTTTACAGCAAAAAACAAAAATTACCTCAACATGGAAGATAGACTATCTTCCATGTTGAGGTAATTTTTGTTTTTTGCTGTAAAAAATACATACCCTCTGTTATAATAAACACATTGAGCTCTCTGTAGATCATTTTTAATAACTAATATTACTAGGATCCACCCGGATGATATACCAACAGATCGATTACCTGTACTATATATATATGTATATATATATATAAAAAATATCTTAAATGCCACTTAAGATTATCGCACAAAATTTCATAACTGAATCAATAAGCTGTCAGATCCTCATACATCGAAACTGATGGGAGTCTCTATTATTATTATTATTATATATATATATATATATATATATATATATATATATATATATAAATATATATATATATATATTAAATATAATAGATATTTTGGGAACTTTTATTTTGATATATTTTGGTGATCAAACAGTATCATCAGAAAATGTAATTTATTTCAATCTAATCTACATTACTGAGACAGGACACCGTTCATGCTGGATATTTTTTCTCACCAATGCAGATTTGGTCGAAAGAAAATACAGAATTCATCCAAACAAGTTCTACTGAATGCCATCTACAAAATCTGTCTATTTAACTTTTCATATAGTTTTTCCAACTGAGGCGTTTTACATCAGGATTAAAAATGTTAAACTGTCCAAAGTTCATTTTTATGCATGATTTTATTTATACTTTCAAATATCACTACAGTCATTATTAAGAATGAAAAATGATCAGTATGTTTAGTAAAATGTGTTTGGCAAAATCCTGATGTATAAATTCAGTTAGACTGTTGCAGAAGACATCACCTTTAAGTGATGTCAATTTTAATTCCAGAAATCTAAAAATGCTAAACACGTTTTAATGAAAATACTGATCACTTGCAATTCTTGATAACAACTGTAGAGACAATCAGAAGCACTCAAATTCAGCTAAATGAACTTTAGACATTTTAACATTTTTAATCCTGACATAAAACACCTCAGCTGGAAGTTGAAAAACTAAAAGTTAAAGACACAGACCTTGTCAGTGTTATTTAATAAAACTTGTTTGTATATATATATATATATATATATATATATATATATAGGTACCTCTAAAAAAAATGTTTAGACTGCATTTTAAAAATGGAAAGTTTTTATCTAAATTTTAATTCCAAGCTAATTAACTGTAAATAAGTCCTGAAAGTTTGATTAAAATCTGACAGTTATTTGATTTTTGCAAGAATTTCCAAATCAGTGTTTTTCACCATAAAAAAAACAGTCAAATTTCCCATACAAATTTATGGTTCACTGCTAATGCCAGAGAAACAAGAATTTTAACCAAACTTTTGAAGGTTCTAAAAAGGATTAAAAAGTGATTTTTTATAAAAAAAATCCTTTGATCTTTCCTCATAATAACAAAGGTTTTGATGATAAAATTCTGTTTTTATTAAGTTTGGGGCATTTTTCATCATGCATGTTCACTTTAGCAAATCTTTGGAGGTACCTATATGTTTATGTGCATGTGTGTGTGTGTGTGTATATGTATATATATATATATGTGTGTATGTGTGTATTTTCAATATATTGGGCAGCAATTGTTCTGTTAAACTGGTAGTGTTAAAACAATAGATATTTTGGGTCTATTACATTTAGTGATTTTTTTTTCTCTAATGTATGAATATCCTTTCAAAAATGTGATTATAGTGTGTAGACAAATTGGCCAAACACTCCCTGGTAATGAGTCATATGAGT